GTCCCACCGGAGCCAGCGCCAGGCTGGAGCGCTGGCGCTCGGCTCCCCCGGCCCGCGCTGCCTTGCGTGCAGCCTGCGGCTAACCACATCCCATGGCCTTCCCGAAGCCGAGCCCCGTGACCCTGCCGCGACTCCCTCTCCCTTCCTGTCCCCTTTCCACAACCCTGCTCCTTCCGCAGGCGCAGACGCCGCAGCAAAAAGTGCTGGCCCGACACTTTGGCCAGCTGCCTCCCTGGTGGACAAGCTCCCCATTTGGACGCCCCAGGCGTGCCTGGGCGCCTTGCTGGGGCTGCCAATGTCTGTGCTGGCACTGGGGACAGGCCACCACCAGCAGGAACTGGGCCACCCGCTGCCCTTGGGGCCCCTCGAGGTAGATCCCTCTTGAGGCCGTGGGGAGGGAATGGGGCTGCGACACTTTGGCCAGCTGCCTCCCTGGTGGACAAGCTCCCCATTTGGACGCCCCAGGCGTGCCTGGGCGCCTTGCTGGGGCTGCCAATGTCTGTGCTGGCACTGGGGACAGGCCACCACCAGCAGGAACTGGGCCACCCGCTGCCCTTGGGGCCCCTCGAGGTAGATCCCTCTTGAGGCCGTGGGGAGGGAATGGGGCTGCCAGGTTGTGCTTGGCCGGTGGGACAGGAGCGCCAGCAGGGCCTGCAGGCTGTCCCCAGGGCATGGCAGCACGTCCCTGTGACAGGAGCACCTGCGGCCCCCATGGGCAGTGCCAGGGCTGTCCCTCCCTCCATCCTTACCAGCTGCCATGGGCATCTCTGCCGCCAGGCAGCGTGCCGCTGCGTGCCCGCCTGTGGCAAGGGCAGTGCCCACCGGGCTTTGCTTCCCGGCCACGAAGTGACAGCCACGCAGTGACCCTGCTCTGCCACGGAGCCCTGGATCACAGGCTCCAATGCCCAGAGTGCCCTGACTGGGAGAGGCAAAACTCCTGGGCCCAAGACCCTTCGGAATCTACCCCAGAGGGACAAACCAACAGCAGGAGACGCAGCGGAGCAGAGAGCAGCGATGTGCTCAAAACCCGCTTGCATGCAGTCCTGTGCCACGAGCTCTAGGTGACCCTGTGTGTGCAGGGGGTTGGACTGGATGACCTCTAGAAGTCCCTTCCAACCTTAACCATTCTATGATTGCATGATTGTATGATGAGCCCGAGGAGCCTGGCGCTGCCATGCCCCACAGTACCAGCTGCCCTCGGATAGCACCCGTGCAACACGGGGCAGTGCCAGTGCTGAGCTGCCCCGTAAGCCATGCAGAGAGGAGATGCCGCCCGCGTGCCCCGGCCAGGGCAAGGCGCTCGGCTCCAAGCCCGGCCGCTCACAGACGTGGCTGAACCCCAGCAAGGAGCGGCGCTGACACCCGGCTGCTTCCTGGCCCGAGGACAGGGGCTGCGCCAAAATGGAGAGATCGGCCTTGCCCACACCAGCCCGACACTGCCCTACTGCAGATGTTCTCCAAGGCACTTGGAGCCTCGCCAGTCCCACTGTCCTTCTCAGTGGCCACAGTACATCCTCCTGCTTGGGGCTGGGCCCTGTCTGCTCCCCGTGTCACCTGGGCCGGGGATAGGGACACACGGCACAGCCAGGAGCAGGACAGAGCTATTCCATGGGCTGTGCTCAGCACGGGCTGCTGCGCTGCCAGGCAGGGTCTCAGTCTCCCCCAGGGCAGAGCACCCACCTCACCTCCCATGTCCCTGCCCTTCACTGCGCCAAGCTGTCCCCTCGCCTGGGACCGAGACACCAGCCCTGAATCGCTGCGGGTATTTATAGGCGTTTCTGGTGCCCAGCTCTGCAGATTCGATTCCTCTTGCGCTTCTGACTATGCTGCAAGGATGGGTAGTGGGTGCTGCCCAGAGCAGTGTCTAGGAGCGCCCGGGCGCCCTCTCCTCCCTTTCTCCTGCCCTTTCCCTTGCTAGAGCTCCTGCCCGCACTCCTCTCCGCTGCCCCATCGCCCCAGCCTGTCCCCAGCCGTGCAGGACGGCGGGGCTGGCACTTGGCGTGCGAAGAGCCCGCGCTGTCGGCACAACAGGTCTGCGACACCTAGTGCAAACCTGGGGCCTCTCTCTAGAGGGAACTGGGGTACGGAGCCCATTCCCAAACCGAGGACTCTCCAGGGTTGCCCTGGGGCTCTGGGAGAGCCCTGCAGCGCTACAGGGCCCATGCTGTCCCATGGCTGGCCTGCTCGGACCCAAGAGCCCCAGTGCCCCGTGCGTGTCCTACCTGGAGCACAGTGCCAGCAGCACTCGGACACCAGGCTGGGATGTTCCCTTGCCTCTGCCATCAGGACTTCTCCATCTGGCCCACGCTGCTCTCTGGCACTCGCTGAGGACACGAGGTGGTTCCTCATTTGGGGATTGGTTTGCACTTGGTGACTGACAGGCACCGAGTGCTGTGACAGCCGCCACACAGGGTGACAGACTGAGTGACCCTGGGGCCCCAACTCTGCTCACCTTGCCCGTGAGGTGTGAGGACTCAGCTCACAGGCTGATAGGGCTGCCGAGGTGCTGACCCCATGGCCTTACCCCATGGCACCCCACATGTGTTGGGATCCTCGCTCCCGAGTCACAGAAAGCCATTGCGTGTGCTCTGAGAAAAGCAGCTTCAGCCACAAAAGCTGAGGCCCCCGGCACCCACGGCTCTGGCACCCAGGGCCTGGCCGCCATCACTGATGCCCCCCCACTCCCTTTTCCAGGTGTCCTCTCTCTGCCCATCTCAAAGCCCTGTGCTCACAGCCGCAGCTCCGTGTGCCCTGATGCCCTCTCCTCCGTGCAGATTCACCCAACCACGCGCGCCTGGCGCTGCCCGATGCACCGCGTGCGCCCGCACCTCTGCTGTGACACCTTTGCCCTGTGCGCGCCCCCGTGCACATCCCAGCGCACACTTGCATCCTGGCACTCCTGGCTTGCTCTGTTTGCACACACAGACACAACATCTGGCAGTTGCTGGACTATCGACTCTCCAAGGTGAGGATGAGCTGCTCTGTGCAGAAAATGACCCAGGAAATGCCAAGCCCTGGACAAAATTTTCCCACATGCGTTGTGCTGGAATATGCCCAGTGTGGTGCTTACTTGCCCTGTGGCACATGAACCTCTCTTCACCAGGCTACAGCAAGCCAAGGTGGGGTGACATCCCTTACCAGGCTCGTCTCAGGACTCTGCTTAGACCCGCGCACCCCAAACTCAGAGCATTGCCAGAAAAGGGAAGGGAGGGTTTCCTGCGATTTAGCAGCTTGCAAGGAGACCCACCCTGTTTCAGGCAACACCCCAGTTCAAAATGTGGCCCTGCAGATGATTTTGCTGCTCATGGAAACATATCTATCCAGATGGGCACCACAGTGCCCATCCGCTGCCATGAGACCCTGCTTGGAAGAGGACTACAGCAACTTCCCGGTGCCATGAGGGGCCTTCCTGAGGAAGGGACATTTGTGGAATACTGTTTTGTCTCTTTTGAAGCTATCTCATCTCCCAGTTACTGTTGCTCATGAGGAGCATGAGCATGAGGAGCAATGAGCAGGAGACGGAGTGCAAAGGGCCAGCAGTGGGAACAGAGCAGCAAGGCTTGCCCCGCTATGATCTCTGGAGGGAGAGAGCTGGGGCACGCCGGGGATGACCTTCCCACCACATCCCCCCAGAGGCTGGCAGAGAGCATCCCTTCACCTGGCCTGGCACATAAGGCTCTTCGCCTGCCCCCTTCTCTCTGTCAGCATCTGGCCTTGCATCATCTTGGAGCTGTATGGTGCAAGCACACTCATTTCCTTCAGCAGAGGGAAGTGGGAAGTGGAGCCTGGCCATGGAGCTCCAGGAAGCCCTGGCGAGGCTCAGCTCATGGGGCACTCAGAGGTGCACAGAGCTTGGACAAGGGCTCGAGACACTGAAGCTGCTGCCTACCCAGGAGAACCCAGTCTGGCAGGTCAGACCTGCTGCTCCCCTGCAAAGTGTCCCCAGGCCACCAACTCCTGCACATTCGAAGGCAGCAGAGCTCATCCTTGATGCAGGATGTGTCAGTTTTGCCCAGCCCTGGCACAGTCCACTGGGGCACAGCACAGCCAAGACTGGGATCCATCCTGGCTGATTCAGCAGAAGTAATGGACAATGTGTAGCTATGGTGGACATATGAGGGCTGGCTTTGCATGAGTGGACATGGGGACTGGAAAAACATTGCAATCTGTGTGCCCCACTGCCCCCAGGAGATCCCTCGACAGCTAAAAACCAACATGATCACATAGAGTGGTGCTGCTGTCTGCCCTCCTGTCCTCCAGCATTTCCAGCTCTCCTTCCCCATGATAGTCCTGTTGCTCCTACTGCTCTCCTCTGCTTTCTCTGCACTCTCCCTTCATGCCCAGCAAGCTCTGCAGCAGCCCCTGGCTCGCTGAAGGCTCCGAGGCGCCTGCTGCACCGTGCTGCAGGCAGTCCCTGCAAGGCAGAGGTGACGGCAGCCCCATGGGAAGATGCTGCTTCCCTGGGTCCCGCTCAGCCTGTTTTGGAACTGGTTCCAGATTCCTCTCCTGTGACCAGGCTGCTATTGGCAGTGCCTTGTTGCCCAAGGGATGTAGCACTGGCAAGCACAGGGGTCCCAGCTCCAAGCCAGCCCCTGGGGTTGGAATCAATCAGGCTCATGCAGGGGTGCACTATGAAGAGGGAGGACACAGCAGCACAGAACCTGCTCTCTCTAGAGGTTTCCGCTTTCTTGTGGAGACAGTTGTTCTTCCCGTGTCTGCAGGCAAACCCAGGTGGTTTCACACTTCTGGAAAGACCCTCTGTTTGGAGAAATTGCCTTCCACAACTTCTGACCAGGCCCTTCCTGACCTGCCATAGCTCTGACCTGCTCACAGCCAGGTGCAAGCATAGCACCTGCCCTACAGCCCAACACATGTGGCCCATTCATTTGGCTTTTTTTTTTTTTCTTTCAGTACTGGTGTTTTCTGTACTTGGTCCTGGGGCCCTGCTGCTGCCTTGGCAGCCCTCTGCCTCCCCATTTCTCCCTGCTGTGGAAGAGCACAAGTCCTCTGCTGTCTGCAGCAGGGATCCTACATCGGCACCCAGGCTGGTTCCTACCTGAGATCTCCATGATATCGTCCAGGCTGGGCTGCAGAGGGGCCAAGTCTGGATGGATCATATCAGCATTCCCAGTGTAAGCTGGAAGAGGGCAGAGCTGCAGCTTTAAGGTCTGACCACTGTGCCTATAAGGCCCCCTCCTCTCAGTGCTCGTCCCACCTCTCCCATCACACGTGTGTTATTGCCACCCCCTCGCGGCATCACACTACGTTAGCGCACCCTGACTCCCAGCAACACAAGGGCAGGGGAGAAGGTGCCGGCCATGAAGTGTCCCACCCTCCAGCGACATCCGTC